ATTTTTATTTTTGGCATTGTGTATTATTTAATGATAAAAACTTATCATCTTTAATAATTTTTTTAGTCTTCAATATTTACGTTATTTGATAATATTCATCCAACCAAATTACTTTCGTTATTACTGCTTTTATTCAATCTCATGAATTCGAGTTTGCAGATATTTTCTAAAATAAGTAAGGTCTCAAAATTAATGATTTTCAGATTAGCGCGTGCTCAAGATTTTTTTAACGCGTTGCTTTAGTCCATCAGTTTTTTTTACATATTTATTTATAATGTCATCAATACAGACATTGACTTGTTTATGTTGCCAAAATGAAAAGAAGCTCGAGGAGTTTGGTGTATACAAAACAGACTATTTTAAAACTTGCAAAATGTGTCGTGAAAAACTTGGCTTACCTTCAGCACGTAATAATAGTATAATAATAAGCAATCAACAGACAAATAAATCTAAAGAGTCTTGCGAAAATGACATCATTTTACCTACCAGTGAAGATGATATATTGTTACATGATATAATCAAGCTAGAGGATTTGGAGGACTTCATATCAACTGAAATTGAAGCATGCGAAAACAATTCAATTGGAATCGAAGTAAATCTATATATTCATTTGTCAAATAATAATAAAATTAATAACGATACCAATTATAATAGCAGTGATAACAATATCAATAATAATGATAATATAAGTCTTACTTTTCAAAAAGTTATTGAATCTATTCAAATCGCTGATGGTTATAAGTGGAATTATGTACGTCAATACAATGGTATCAATAGAAAACAATCATGATGGTACACTTGCTCTTTGTCTTTTCAATGAGATCATACTGTACTAAATCCTAAGCGTATTCATACAAAACAAGAGCATTTCACTTGTTATGGTTTATTGCGACTTATTTTTAATCCAGAAAATATGATTATGCATCTTCACTTGCATCATCATGAGCTTCATCCACGTCCAGCTACAAAAGAAAATGTTAACGAAAACATTACAACATTCATTAAAAATAATATTCATCTTACTTCGAGACAACTTTGGAAGCATTTGCAACATCAATCACATACCTTAACGCAAAAACAGGTTCATTTTTGGTGGTCTACATTTCACCAAAAACTCTTCTATTGTGATAATGATCAATTTACTTCAGCAATATATCTTCTACAAGAAGATGAAAGTTACCCTCTACTATATAGCAATCAAGAAAATGGACTTTCTGAATTTGCATTCACTACACCATTTCTACAATTGTTACATGGTATATATGATGAAATATGTATGGATGCCACATACAAAACAAATAATGTGGGGTTCGAGCTTTATACAATTATGGCAAACATCGAAGGTGTGGGCTATCCGTTATTATACTTGTTTTTGAATTCTTCACCAACTACACCTAATATGCGCACTAGGGTTCCGAAAAAAAGTCTGGTTCGGTTCGAGTCTGGTTCGGTTCGAGCTTGAACCGGACTCGAACCTGACGA